TCATGAAGACATCTCCCCGATTGCATGCCAATCGAGGGAGATATCCGCGAGAACCGGTGGGCATGGCCTTTCCCCAAGAGTTTTCGTGGAGAGCATACCTTACCAGGGAGGGGTCCCTCGCCGGCAAGGTATTCCCTCCACGGTATTCTTCTCTCTGTACGGGAAAGCATACCTTACGGCCACTGATGGACATAGGGATTTCATCCTCTTCCTGTGGAACCGATTCCATTCCTCCCCACTCAAATTAGAAATATGACTCAGGACCTCAGCTATAAAAACGACCGCTCTACATGTGCGCTTTACAATTAGTTTCGTAATGCTGATTAATACCAATCACAATAACGATGTCTGGGTGAGCGAGCCGTCCAACGGAACGATGACGATGATATATCGCCAGCCGCTTACCTCACCATGACTCAGTTTCGGGCACAAACGGAGGGCCTCTCAACGGAGAACACGACACGTTTCCGTTTCTTGTAGGATGACAAGTCCAGCGCCGCCGATTGTGATGACATCACCTCATCGCCTATCGGCCCAGATTGCGCCACTAATCCCTTCACTAATCTCCACACTTGCACACTGCACAATATGATGAGAAAACATTTCGACATGCCTAATCTGCATTTCGCGTAAACGAGGACGACAATTTCGGAAATTATTCGATGCTCGAGAAAAATTCGCAACTTTATTTACACTTTAAACTCTTCTCACACAACACGAAAAGTGCAACGATTATCTAACGAATGTGTTAATACGAAGCGCGCTACGAACGATGTTACACACTATCACAGTTATTACAATAAATAATTGGTTAACAAAATTACCCATTAATACATAAAGTCGCCAACCCTCGAAGATATTTCATGCTCCAGGTAAAAATTAATTGCGAAATGTAAAGTTGATTAGCCTGTCGAATTCCCGTGCACCGCAGGTAAGAGCGGTGGTGTTCAGTTCGCTTGTATGGGATTGCTCTTTGTGCTCATTCACCTCTGGCTTCAACTTATTCGATTTGATCACGTCCTCCTTCTCTGTGTGATTTCCCGTCTCTTTAGCGATGCTCGGTAATGTGGTCGCAAGAATCTGCTCTATCTTTTCAGTCACCAGCACCTGAACAAAACCAACACTAAAGAATGTATGGAACTTATTCAAGCTCCCATGAAAGAGGTCCCAGCTTCATCGAACTGTTCGATATCATACGTACCTGGCTATTACTGTTCGCGGCACCGGTGCCATTATCATTAGTTGCTCTAACTACTGGAGCAACAGCACTCTTTTCAGATAATGGATGAACTGCATCGAAAAAATATACCTGAAAGGAGTTTAAATCAAGTATTCTGAGCCCTCACTTGAAACTAAAATTTTCTCAACATTACAATTTTACAAAAACTTGTTTATGCACACGTTGCGCAGCAGCACTGTTAGAGGGACAACCCAGGCAGAAGTTGTGTGCACGATTCCGTTCGGTGTGTAGAATAGATTCCTAGAGGACA